TACAAACACTCTTAATTGGATTGGTATATATTTTCGAGATGCGGAATCGGAAGGGAAAAATCGATTCTTTGGCTGTCAGGAACTTCTTCAATTTTGCTGTGAGAACAGAGTGATGGTACATTTCAGACATGGTATAAGCCAAGTTTGTTAATGAGAGGTGGTTTATAAGGGATAAATTAAAGTTCGAAAGGACATAGAGAATATAACAAGGAAATATCAAGGAGAAGGATAAGAAGAAGAAAAGGAAGAAGAAGAAGAAGAAGAAGAAGAAGAAGAAGAAGAAGAAGATGATGAAGAAGAAGAAGAAGAAGAAACAGAAGATGATGAGGATTATGAGAACAGTAGGAGGAGGAGGAGGAAAAAGAATGACAGCACTATTTATTTATTATTTATTTATTTATTTCTGATATTTAGATAGGGTGACTCATTATCACCAATAATGGTGGTCTGCCATGAGGCCCTGTTAAACATAATGAGGTACATTATAGTTTAACAAATATATATATGATAATAATATTAATAACAAAATCTTGAACATAAATTCATAACAGCAATAAACAATAAGTAAGAACATGTTTAAACATTATATACAAAGTATTTGGTATCCTCATATCTAAACGCAATGCGGATTTAAAATTGTCACGTCAAATCAAACTATTAATCTATTAATTAATTGCACCAAGGGATAAAATAATTATTGTACATAAGAACTCACTAATTTAATACGTAATATGTGATACCCGCAATACCATGAAAAAGGCTGAACGCTAAAAGTGGCGATTTCTTTCCTATTGCCAAAATGACAATCCTTTTATTAATCAGTGGAGAGTTGGATTTTATAGTATTTTCGGGATCATTAAAGACAATTACAATTTTGGCTCGGCTTAAACTTACAACTATCAACAAGTTCGCCTTAATTTAACGACTTAATTCGAGATTTTCACGGCCGCCGAGCAATTTACAAGAATAGTTGGCAAAGTTTTATGCATTAATCTCACGTCGAGTCGACAATATACCTCGTTAATTCAATGTAAAACAGTGTCTATTTAACATCGCGGACAATTTACAAACTGAAGGATAAAGACATGAAAACTGTTTAGAATAGTAGCAATTAAAGTCGGATCTCCCTTTCAAGTCTAATCTCTATCAAGATAAAGATGATCATCAATTGATACAGTTATAGTCAAGTAGTAGTAGTTGGCAAATACTAGAAGTTTTCTGCAAATTGGGATGGTTTGCAAAGAGATAATTGCGTCTCGGATTTATGAAGTACTTCAAGAGAACGTGCGATTGCTTTAATATTGACCGCCTTGTTAATTCGGACAACCGATTGTTGGGCAATTTCTTTGTTTTATCTTGTCGTGCTTCGTTTGCTATGCCATCTTATTCGGTTTAAAATGGTTGACATAAGATAACGTGAGGTCAATAAACGGTAGCCACTGTCATAACCTTTTTAGTTGTTTTTTTCTTTTTTCTTACACAGTCCTGCCTTCTTGTTTCCCCAGATTTGCAGGATTTGAGGGCCTTTTTTGTTTTTTAACGATAAATTTGAGTTCGAGCCATACAATTAACTTGCGGAAGAAGTTGTCTCGAAGTTATTGGGTGTAATTATTATTTAGTTTCAAAATGTATTGTGAACTTTGGAATCTATTTTTTGTTATATTCCGAATATTATGTCAGTTTAAGGGCAACCCTTTTTACGTGACGTTGCTAATATGTTATTCTTCCTCAAAGGATTAACAAAAAAAATGAGGAAATTCACCAATTATATTTCACCTCTACCAGAATCCAACCTGCTCTTTGACCCAATCGATTTATTCTTCAACTATCAACAATAACTAGAGTTATCATGATGTAACAAGCCTCTAATGCCGTTTATTTATGCCACCATTTTTGTATCATGTATTGTAGCTCAAATAGCCTATATGACATTTAAATCGATGGTTGGCCTTTACAGGTCAGTTATGACAAGAGTTATGATAATGCGGAAATACGAAATGGTTATGATTGTCTCTTATATATAAGTAATTTAAAAGGGATTTTTACGTGACTTCTTCTATAGGAAAAAATGTATATACCTCATAGTAAGCAAAGTAATTCAGATTGGAGCTGGGAATCGAAATGATTTTCATCTCTCATGTGGTACATGTATTTCATGCAAAGAAATCCGAGTGTATGAGTGGTGATGCTTATACCAAAATGTGAATGGGCTTTAGGCGACCAATTTGTGGCGATTGGTAAAAGAAAATAGGTAACGATATCATCATTACGATATACGACATACTTGATGGCCTGTAAACAGAAGAGTTTTAAAGAGCATTTAATATGCCATTTAAATCGAAAACGACAAGTCAGGGGGTGGGTTGCCTACCGAGAATTTGAACGGGGTGTCCTTTTGAGTTATACCAAATTCGCTTGCTATCTGAATGTCGTATTTATAGATGGAATCCTTTATTCGAGGCTGATTATGTTACACGAGTCCACAGACTCTGGTTAGTATCTTCATGAGGATTTCTCAAATCCCTTGAGTGATACGGAGGATGAACCCGGCACCTCAAACAGGTACTACGCCGAGGTTTCCCGTGTGTGATAGCAGACAATGCCCCCAATAGACAATGAAAGAGTGCTATCGGCTGCGGGAGGATGCACGCTCATGTAATTTTGTTTCTATATTTTCCCGCGCGCGCGCCCAGTCATCCAAAGTGACAAACTGACATAGGAAGAAAGTCGTTAATTACTGCCCTTTCCTTAATGAAGGTGCGAATTTTAAGCGGGCTATATACATGGTGATGTAACCAAGCGGGTCTCCCTTGGCATGTAGGCCCTCGGGCAATTTTACAAACCACTGCTAGCCGACTTCCTCTGCTAATTAAAAGAAGTAGGACGATTGGGTGACGTACTGTTTCTGGTAAGAGTCCAGATAGTCTACCCTACTCAAGTCATCAAATTGCTCATCGTTTGAATGACTGGTCACATAATTATAACTCATACAGATAACTAATGTACAATTATCAAACAGAGTAGAATAATGTATGACTGTATCGGTGCTAAAAGCTCATATGGCATTAGCATTAATCGATGTGCAACATATCCCAAACCATTTCTATATATTTAATATGCCGGTTTGTACTTAAGCCCATTATTTAAAGTTACATATATAATTAAAGCTGTAGTTATAGTTATAGTTAAAGTTATAGTTATATCTGTGACGTGCAACCTGCCCTGAACACAATAGAATGTTAATAAAGATACACTGAAGATTTAGCACTGAGATCTGTTGTCACAGACCTGATCCCAAAATATAGCAGTGACAATGCCATCATAACAGACTTTCTGAATATTCTATAGGTTTTTGATTTGATTCCAGTTTATTATAACAGGATTATGATCAAGACATTGAGCCAACCTCACAAGGGATTTGGTTAAACTTAATCCAGTGTTGGGTGAAATTAAATCGATCTTTGCTCTTGGTTTGTGTCTGATATTTTTCATGCCAAGTTAGAGAACACAAAATGGTTTGTTCGACATTGATAGTTTGATGACACAGTCCTCCTCGACCCCCTCCCGCCCCCATCCAAAAAACGGATGACGTGTTCCAAAGAAGATCAGGACAAGACAAAAGCAAGATAGTGAATGTCAGACGGGGGTCACCATTAATCATCCAAAGATGACGACAATTCTGATGGATTCAGTCGTGAAACGCGGCTCATCGAATAGGCCTGTTTCCAATCCCAACCCGTCCTCACTCGGTGCAGAGTTTAGACACAATTTCCTCCCTGGATTTGATCAATTTGTATTGCACTTGACAATTATGTTATTTACCCGATTGTCTGCCCATTCTGTTCCCTAAATACCCCTGGCAAGTTTTCCCCATTTGCCACCCTATATCAAGGTGGCTGAACTCGACGAAGCAGCGCGGCATAATTGGAAACTTTCTGCGAGAAGTATTTCATCGATTACGCTTTTTACGCACAACACATGCCCAGCATGCTCTTGTAATTGTTCTCCTCTTTCCTACAATTTTCAATTGATTTACACATCACGTTTATCATGTTATCCATCTGTTTATCTTTACCTAATATGGCAAAATGCACTGATTTCGATCAATTGCACATCTCCGTCCCATTGTTCAAACAGAGGATGCCTTTCTTCAATTTTGTTTCCCAAATTCGACGGAGGACCCCTTTTATATTCGTCAGGTTGCGAAGGAAATTATGATTTTCCTCAAATCATTTCTCAACAATATTTTGATGGAGATTAATTTGTACTAGTTGAATTCATGAGTGCTTATCATATCCGATCTCATTACAAACAATAACATACTGTCTCTCTAGTCGTTTCCCATAAGCATATCAGTGTTGATTATTAACCATGCATCATTCATTTTCCCGGTAATAAAAATTTGTGATTTTTCTATTTTGATCCTGATACACGTACACGGAAAACACACTAGGATATCTAAAAATATAAAAGACAAACAGATATCATCTTTCTTTACCAAATGTTATGTTTGAAATAAAAAATGCAATTCTGGATATAAGTAATCTGGATGACATCATGAGACATCTACAGAAAGTTTGAATATTGAATCCTTTTCCCAGTAATTGAACAAGAGTGTAGATATATTTTGAATATAGGAATGTAATTGAAGGACAGGGCACTATTTTGAACCCCCCCCTCCCAAAAAAAAAACAACAACAAAACCTGGCTATGATCAGTAGATGTATTATATCGGTAATAAGACTATAAACGTTTCTTAATTTAAAAAAAAAAGAATGTGCTTTTTGAGATACCATAATAACCTAATAATCTGTATTGATAACAATATTCTGTGCTTTGCATGCGCTTTCACGAAAATTCTCCCCGTGGAACCCGTTTACTCGATCTACTTAATGACTAGTCACCCTTCTCTTTTTTCCAATTACTTTTCGGAAGAAAAAAATATTACAGGACTTAGCATCTCCATCTAATCATCATCTTTCTCTTTTCTTTCTTTGCAGTTTCAGGGAAACCTTTCTTGTGGAACCCGTTCATCCAGAGACCGCTCCACAAACGCAAAGGAGGCCAGGTCCGATTCTCCAACGATCAGACGATGGAGCTGGAGAAGAAGTTTGAAAACCAGAAATACCTCTCCCCGCCCGAAAGAAAAAAGCTCGCCAAGGTTCTCCAGCTCAGTGAAAGACAGGTAAATGAAAGCATTGCAAATCTTTTGTTGTAATTTTGTCTTTATTTTTTATGTTTTTATTCCTTTTTTTTGGTTTCGCCCCGAAGGAGACATGTTTTAGGGAATCCACTAAGTTCTTGAAAAGTTGATTATGGTAGAGGGTAGGACTAGGTAAGGGCGACCGACAGAGAGAAAGAGAAAGATAGAGAGAGACAGAGAGACAGAGAGACAGACATACAGACAGAGGGAGGAGAAGGGGGCGAGGTGTCAGCGGTAATTCCACGGAGAAAAAATACAAATATACGGTCCGTTCAATCTTTTTGTTTGATGGTCTCAAATAAAGTACACATGTCAAAATACAATATTTTTTTAACACTTCTGGAGCCTTTAAAATCTCTTCTTGTCGGGAAGATGGTTGCCAAAAAGGAAGGCTCCATGCGGAGATAACATACATAAATATTGGAACTAATCTGTTCGGGGGAGCATTTATCCATTTCTTTGTCATCCTCTTGTTATCATGACATAGATGTTGATGAAAAGAATCCTCCTCTTTAGCGCTGGTTGATGGTACCTTTTATCGGCTGTTCTTCAGCAGACGATGGGAGGAAATGCGTGGTGGTCCCAGGGCGCATTACCGTGCAGAATTTATGCTCTCGGAAAAAAGGCGGGAGATGACAGGAGAAATCAGATCCCATTCTAGAATGCCAGTGGAGAAGGGGGGGGGGGGGGGGGGGAGATGCGTGTCTTTTTATTAATTTTTAAGGTGGAATGGCAAAATATGATACTTACAGGATGAAATAATTCTTTGCTAGATAACATTTTCAATTCCCTAATTTTCCAGTTTTCACTTCGATAGATTAAGTTCCTTTATTTATATAAAACCGTGCATAAAACTACATTTTTTAAAAATCTCTTGGCCTTACTGAAACACATGGAAAGCAATATAAAAAAGTGAAATTTACTATATTTTGTCTGCTATTACTTGTAATTTATATGCAAAATATAGCTTACTAAAAAAAAACAGCCATTGATTGTTCGTAAAATCTTTGTCATGTTTGTATCACTAAATAAGCGGCAATTTGTGGTCGCCTTCGCAAAATGTCAATTATTCATCCATTACGAATATTTCCTTGTCTAAAAACGGAAATCAAGCTTTCATAAACAATTCATTCAGTCTCAAATGTTACAATCTAAAAATATATTTACAGTTTCTTTTTTTCCATCAGATAGTTTCCGATGATTTCAAAGAAACTCTCGAGGAAACTATCTAATATTAAAACCAATCCTCAATTACACAGCATTATTTGTAATCGAGGAAATGTAACCATATTGTGTTTACTCCCAGCACTTAAATGTCGCTTATGACTTCTCTTTGTGTGTCTCTACACCTACACTTCGAAAGCATTAACTTCTTTTTAAAGGTTTGTTGGGGGAACTTTCGACATTTTCCTCGTAATTTTCCTCGTAATTGTCACTCTAGGTTTACGGGGAATGCTTGGATGACGAAATTAGAAACCACCTTGTCGAATCGAACCATACTATCAGTATCACGACCGTCAACCCACTGTTAGTGAAATGGACAATTATTGCTCCTCTTTATCTCAGCTTCATGTTAAAGTCTTAAACTTAAAGTTGAGTTCTGCATGGTTACGCGATTGCATTGTGCACTTATGTGTGATTGTAATTGTGTCTGGAAGACAATATGGGAGGTTGAGTATGTGGTACATAATAATTGATGTATATACGGAGAGGTTTTGGAATTACAACATTTAAATAAATTGTCCAATGACTAACATTTTGAATATGAGGGCACGTGAAGCGCAGTCCTTTTCAGTGATATTTCGTCTTTGGCACTCTTCCAAACTGACTTATAAAGATTGAAGAAGATCGTAACGTATTTGATATGGTCACCTTTACTAGAAATCAACCTTTAATAAACGCCAAACAAAGAGAGTACATAATTCAGGCGATTATCAACTTTGTTCTTGACACCGTCGCAAAGTGTAGATGACTATCAGGGACTCGTAAAACCGAATTATGAATATGGAAGTATTGGTTATGAATTACGTCACCGATAAGCGCGCGCTTAACTCGTTTTGTCAGCGCTCAACTCCCCGACGGTTGAGCAGACTTCAAAAACAATCATGATGAAATTAGATTAATGAGTTAAGGAAGAAGAATAGCGAAGTATGCTGGTGATGGATGTCGAGTAGACCGACAAAGGAGAGAAGTTAAGGAGTGACTTGTCTGTCAGCGGCGAAGGAGAAGAAAGACGCGGCCCGCGCCGGCGTCTCAAACGCTCTCCAGCCGGTGTGATCATGTCTTTTCCCGCTTTCTCTCTCTTTTTCTCTACCTCCCTCTTTCTCTTCTTCCCTCTTTCTCTCTCTCTCTCTCTCTCTCTCTCTCTCTCTCTCCCTTCTCCACTCTCTCTCTTCTCCACTCTCTCTCTCTCTCTCTCTCCATCTTGCCCTCTCTTTCTACTTCTCCTCATTGTAGTCATACCTTACTAAACATGGCAGCTAAGGAAGTTCAATCGCGGACTGTCGGAAGAGCGAAGAAGGAAATGTGCCTAACAAGATTTCTTGTTTTGGGAGAAGATTCCCCCGTGTTTTTCTTCTCTCTCCCATCGAAAAGCAAGAGATTCAATGTATTGTAACAGACTGCTGTTATTATCTGTTATGGATTTGCCCGACGTAGCTAGGATGTAATGATCGAAACAAAGAATCTTGACTAAGCAAGGGCAATGCAGACTTTTCTTGGCGGGGGGGGGGGGGGGGGGGGGGGCACTTTTAATGCATGCCCCTTTTAAATTATAATTGTGGATATCTTAAATTTTTTGTCACAATTTTCAGTTTTCAGATCCAAAAGGCTCGTGAAAATGTGAAATTTATTTCTTTAATTATTATTTTACTGTCAGAGATTATTTTTCTCGGAAATGTGCCATTCCTTTTAAAAAAAAGTTGGATCCGCCCCTGATCAAGAATTTACCTCTTGATTTTGTTTAAATTTTTTAATGGAGAAAAGGGATGCATGTAGTTTGATAAGTAACGTGCAGCTTATCACTGATCACGGCAATGGTGAGGTATGCCTAATCCAAAAGGTAAAAAAGAAGAAAATAATTGCCCTTTGTATAATTGCGATCTTCTCCAACCGCTGAATGAGGAAGGAAGCTCCCTTGCAATACTATCAAACCGATATCCACATCAACACATGTATATCATCAGAAATATATCTTTATAACCCAGTTTACAAATATAGCGGGAACAACAATATCCTCAATGAATTAGTAATACTATCCTTATCGCACTGTGAAGAGAGAGTTATCCGCTGCAGAGCGTTAGTATTTCCCATTTCTCTTTTTGTGTCGTTCTCGAATTTACTTCCTGTATTATTTGCCATGGTCGCATCTGGAAGACATAGTTTTTAGCACATTATGTCTGCACATGCGCAGTTGGTATCATGTCATAGTACTTTTAGGGTGACTATACTCTAAATTGGTTGTCTGAAATAATACCGTTTTATCGACATATCGATCGCCGTCTGAAACGTTACTGACAATTTCAGTGAATTTTCCGAGAAAATTGTGTATTTTAAATTGTACATATTAGTCGCTTTGGACAGTTCTCGAATGATAAGCATGGTTGGGGCGCAATATATATCCTTGAAATTCACATACAGTTATTTTTTTCAGGCTATCAAATCAATACATCATTTAAGATACATTTTATGTGCATAATAATCCACAAATTAAAGCATATAATAAAGATCTACTGCTAGGAAAGATATTGCCCAAGCTATGATCTAGAGCATGTATTCTAGAATACATGTTTCAATGTCATGTCTGTATTCCGTGTCGAAAATGACGTTCATAACGCTTAAAGCGGTCTGAAAGAGGGTACCAAGTTAGAACTGCTCATGAACGTATATTTTATGGACCTTTTAGACATGATAGTTTTGCGGGACGGCCTTTCGTATTTCCCTCACGTTCAGAGGCTCCTCAACTCTAACTCTTAACATTTGATCGCAAATGATATGTGTCAATAACTTGCTGAAAGATCAATTCTAAATTTCAATATTTCACGAATTAGAAACCAATTATTGTCCATTATTTCCTTCTTGAATATAGATGGTTGATTCTAATTTGTAATTTGAAATACTTATAAAAGAAGGGTCCAATTTGAACTGTAACAAACTATGAATCATTCTCAAATCGGTATTCTGATCTGAAGTGAAAAGGGTATTGCCTTAAGCCACAGGCATGACAGGTCAAACAAATAAGTTGCGTCGAAGGTTCATATTAGTGTAAAACGGTGGGCTGGACATTAATCACCTATTATTTCGGATCACAGCAAAACCAAAATCTTTTCCACAAATCAGGAGAGGTAGATAGAAACGTTTTCCATTATCTTTATCCGATAAAATAGGACCAGCCCATAGCAATGAACAATATTATTTTGTCGACGAAAACAATATTCCAAAAATTGAAGCCTTGGTTTTGTTGTGCAACCGTGATTCGGCATTTTTCCGGGCTTTAGTTCGTTAAAGGTAGAAAAGATTTGGGGTTAGGGTTGCAATTGGGGTTTATGTTGGGTTTAGGGTTATGATTAGGGTTATGATTAGGGTTAGGTACAATGTTGGGTCCGGAGTTGAATTCAGGAATTCGGTAAGTGTCGTACCGCGCAGCAATTTTTTTTCTCGAACAGGGAGCCAATTTCGCGACAAGACTCTCTTGCAACGTCAGACAAGCTGACATAAGAATACACTCGAAAACACTACAGAATAATTAGAACAAAATCTGCTTGTCCGACGCATGCCAAGGAGAAATGGTTCAAATTATCTATGTATGATCGATGATAGGTGATTGTGTTATGATAGAGGCCAGAGTAAGAGCTGTACAGGAAGAGATTAAAGCATTCAACAACACACTCTTTTTCCGGTTTCGATCCTACTCATAATCTATTTTCACGATGCTTCAGATGGGAGAGAGATACAAAGAGATAGATCCAAAATGGCGGAACCATGAGTGAAGTGGGTGTGTGCTTGTTATGAGCGCTATTATTTTGTACTTTCCTGTCGGTTTATGGTATGAAACATTATCACAACAGATGGGGGTGTTGTTTAAATTACTATTTATGGGGGGGGGGGGGGAGGCGTCAAGTCCAGGTTGGAAACTCATTTATGTCTTCATGTTAAGCATTCGGCTCGTTATAAGAGACCTTCACACAGTTCAGCTATAACAAGAAATGGAAACGTATTATCTCATACCCCAGTTACACTAACGATACTGGCACCAGACCGACACCAGACCGACACCAGACAGACATTATCCTGAACAATAAACAAATACATTTCATAAACAAACAATAAATTATACTTAGTCACATGCACCAAAGAGACCAACGTCAGAACGACAAAAGACCAAACAAAAAAGTAAATACATTATACCCGGTCACACCGCGGGACCGATACCAAACAGACAACATCGAATGTAAGATTTTCATTAATATCTCGAATGGCCAAGAATCGTTTTTGTTTTTGTCGGTGTGAAGTCGGTTTGGTGGTGTGACTCAAATATTTTGTCGGTTGTCATTTTGCTTGTAGTCCGTCTAGTGGTGTGATTGGGGTACAAGGAAAGCTATAGGATAACCCACATGTTTAGGGAACATTCACAAAATAGGTACTCTATTTTGTAGAAAGTGTTTATTTTTGATATGGAGTTACGAGTACAATCTTTAATGTGCAACACTGCAACCATATAGTTCTACAAAATAAAGCGATTGTGAAGAAATTGTGTTTAAATATGTCCTTTTGAAAACTCAAATATTTTAACAGATGTTCTTTTGAAGAAGAAAAGAAAAGAAAAATCAAAATGTGTTCTGCTGAAAGTGTGATTCGATGCCTGATATTTCTGTTAAAAGGGGCGACTGTTGATTAGTGTTTTGAACTTTAAATAGATTACTCTATAGACAGTGGAAAAATATGCCCGCTGACTCCTTGTTTTAACGGCTGATCACTTTAACATTTCAGTTTCATTACGAGTTCCGTGTTACTTGTATTTCTTGTACAACGATACAAGTGGGCGTTTCCCATCTACGCTAGCTTGGAGAGAATAAAAACAAAAAGAAATTGAAAACGCAGCAAATCAAAACAAAAGTATGTGTTTACTTTTGCCTTCGATGATTAAACAAAGCACGAAACAGACTATCGGGCTTGTAAGGAAAACGACCAAAATGTATTCAACGTATACGATGCGTATCGAAAAAACCTTTTGAATATTTATTAGTGTTCTATACCTGTTTGCGAGAGCGATTTGGGCCACTTAATCGCCTCTTGGCGGCGACATACAGCCTTGTTGGAATAGACAAGTAAATATATTCTTTATACTGCTACTGGATCAATCGGAATCACTATCAAATCTTCCCTCCATCATCACTAGTAGACAGGGGGTGGATTAGAATCGAAAATTTGGTTGAGGTGGGGGGGGGGGGGTGGGGGAACTGGCCATGCCCCTTTAAAAGCATTAATTTTGTATAATTTGATAATTTTCTTCTTTCTTCTGTTTCTTCCTCTTAAAACTGTTTATCTCTTCAATAATCTTTCTGTTCCAAATTCGTTACTATCACTCACTCCCCCTTCCTCTTATCATCCCCCAATGCCTTCTTTCATGTTCCCTTTCCTTTTCATGATCATCTCTCCATCTCCATACTATCCTTTCGTCAAAAGGTGAAAGTAAAAAATCACCAGCAAAACCACGATATACCAGACGACATATCTCCCATTCCTTTGTGCACGTATTGACCCAGCTCTCACTGGAAGACTCCAAATCCTCCTAACACCGTTGTCTTGGACTAAAGAGGGGTAAACACCCCACGGATGGGGGGCAAATAGACTCCCGAAGAGGGGCACTATATACACCGCCGGTTGATCAAACATCTCGGTGGAGCCTTGCAAGAGGGGGATTAGTGCTGTGTGGAGGGGTGTATTGCGATGGGGTGGATAATGGTGAGAGGGGATAAGTGGTGCTTCTGAAGTACTGGTATTTGAAAGTGATCAGCCCATCGAGGGGGATCAAATATTATGGTCCAGGGGGTAGCGCCGTTTGATGGGCGTTTGACGGGCCCCCATCTGCATGGACTACAATCAAAACAAGTCACACAATAGTGGCGGAGTCTCGATAATGTGAACCATATTGGATCACACACTTTAGTATACTGGGTTAAAACGAAGTGCTCAAAATGAGGGCAGTTTCTGGTTAGATTAACTTTGGGCAATTTTGTGGTCATCTTGGGTAACGTTTTCCAAAAGTACGTTAATTTTTTAATAAAAACTGAGCAAATAATGATCTTAGATGGGCATGTGATTAAAGTTGATTGGACACAAAATCAGCCTAGTTTAGGAATGTATGAACGCCTAATTAGAGATAAATTGAAGGAAAGTGAAATTAGAGACGAAGCGAATAATGATTAACTAATGAAATGGATATTTGAGAGTAATACAAAAAAATAAAAGAGTTACATATTATGTACGTGAAAAATACAATTACATAACATAAGGAAGAAGTAATGAATAAGCATGAGAAAGTAATCTCAGCAGAGGGAAAGGCTTTAGGAGAAGAAGACAAATAGATATAAATGTAATCAGGTAACATAAGGAGAAAGAATGAGTGAAACAAGGAAGTAGAGAAAGAGAGAGAGAGAGAGAGAGAGAGAGATAGATGGATTTAGAAAAAAAGAAAGAGGGGTTTACAGAAGATGGGTATCAAGATCATTGATTTGCTTTGGTTTGGTTTTATTTTCCCGTATAAAAACATATTTACAATTATGAACATAAACATTATGATTATTACCTACTCGAATACGGATGGATCGCTCTATTCAGAACCATTAAGTGAATGAATATGTTCTTACTACACTGTACAAGGTCCAGAGAAATGAATATCATATTAATCTATAATCATAATGATAGCCCTATATTGGCAAATTGAGGGTTTGGAGGTATTGAAGAGTACCGCTTGATAGCTCAGTTTTATTTCATTCGAATAATCTTAGGCTTCACTTGTAGAAGTCGAGGGGCGTTAATGGGGGCCCTCTCACCGTGAGCTAATGATTGACCGGGGCGTCAACACGTTACACACGACAATTTTAATCATGGGGAAAATTCGCTTCCCTCTGATTTTTCAACTTTTCAACCATGTCCATGCAATAATTATGATGCACAAATCAAGAGAATGTAGTCATATTGAAGTATTCGTATGTATTTAATGCATATTATTTTAACTGACTTTTAAGTTTAGAAAAATTCTTCAAAAAGAACGAATGACTTTAAAAAAATTATATATTCGTCTTTTTTCAATTCTTTTCAGGTGAAGACATGGTTCCAGAACAGGAGAGCTAAATGGAGGCGATTAAAACAGGTAATTTCACCACTCTTTAGACGTTAATGGTTTGATTTAATCAGCCCCTTTGTGCCCACATCGAATTATGTTTTTTTCTTCTTCTTTTGACAACTTCCCGATCTCATAAAAAAGATCTACTTTAGTTTGATTCACGAGCACTCTTGGTCTTGATTAAGACACCTGAGTTTATTTGTTAGCAACTCCTTGTCAGCACCTTTGTCGGCATAATCCTTAATAATAAAAAAAAAACCTTTCTCTTTGCTAACGAAGGATATCTGGTTGTTATTTATTCATTAGTGTCATACATGTCCCAAGAAGCTATTTGCAACCCTCTCAGAAAACATAACGGTGGTAAGATCCAACCGATTTGTCTTTTATGAAGTTCTCGAGAAGCCTATAAGTTTATCTAGTCACTTGTACAGCGGGAAACAAAAGAGCTGGGAAAATAGACAGGGACATTAAGAATCGTAAAAGTGAACGTTTTTATGTGGCCACAGACGACACTGTTTTAATGGCGGGAAATCCGCCTGCACCTTAGAGCAAAATGCGTCAAGTAGTTTTCCATCAGAGTGAATACTAGAGAAAGAAACCGCCGGTGAGTGGCCTCTTTGCACCATCTGAATTACGATGCTTCCGTCAGAGATTATATCCACAAAAACACAGGCTACTGTAAATACACACCGGAGCTAAACATTAATATTAGATAAATGAGTATCTAATATAACGAGCACACCGAAAATGTAAGCACTTAGACCACTTCAGTCCAGATTCTAAATTGCGCGGATGCGATTATCGTCAGTAAATACCTTTCAAATTAGAGTAGCGTATTTCTTGGAGCTCGTTTATTTTGCCTCCTCGAGATTTGGTTTTAAGTATGTGTACTTAGAAATCATAAATGGGGGTGTATAGCAAACCATTTACCATGTTCAAATAAGATTTCTCCTTGCTTGTAATTAGTATCGAGTCTGGAAGAAGAACGAAATGAAGGAAGGATTCAAGAAAAGTAAAGCATTGATGATCTTTTAGGAACAAAGCGATCCAGTGACTTGAAATTGCATTGGCAGCGTACAAGACTAACTTAGTGCGCGTCGCCAATTTGATTTTTAATTCCTCTCTCCATCTTAATAATTGACTCAATCTTGATGATTTATGAAGTAGCTGTAATTTGATACAATCAAGTTTACATTAACAAGTGATTCGAGTAGTCCTTTCGATTTAAATTAGTTTTTCTCGCTTCTGTGTATTTTCTGTCGTAAACGACAAGCCAGGCAGACGAAAGAGAGTCAAACGTTCTTTCATAGAAACTGTGTCAGAAACTCAGAATGTTGAAGTAGGCAAGTAATTGCCAGGGGGTGTGATGATTAGTAAGCGCCAGGGTACGGCAATTTCCTTATGCTCGTTTGACGCAAGGATTATTTGCTGACGAAGGTCTGCGTCGATGACTGGCGCGGTCTTTGACGGGGCATATACGGTTTGAGTGACATGATAAGAAACTGAATGAAAAAAAAAATCCACTGACGCAGCCTGAACTCAGTAAATAGCGCCTCTTGTGCAAAAGGCGTCACTACGGGACTAATGCCTGGGGTGCTGCACCTATGCTTGATGCGGGACCTGGGATGACAGGCAGTAAATGCTTGTCACTCGCCTCGTCGTCACTGACCTTTTGCCTCGATGATGAAGACATCGACTAGCACTCCAAACGTCATGGTCCACCACGGCCGTGAAAAACGCTTGTAATTCGAGGCTATTAATCACAGCTCGAAGGCTCTTTACCCCTCTCTACTCATGCTCTGTTTTCCCCCTCCTCCTCCTCCTCCTTACAAGCAAGAAGGAACGAATCAATGACAGATGCGATGATGCAAACGGGAGAGTAATGCATTAAGGTCTGTCGGGGTTGGAAGGGGTGTGGAGTATCCCCCCAAGTTGACTAAAGATTCGAAAGATCACATCTATTTTCAAAATTGTTCGTACAGTGTTATTTCACTATTATTTCCATGCATCATTTAACAAAACACTTTATCTACCGAGTCTAAAACCATGTATCGGAAGGGTCACATTGTGTTATAAGAATTGTTTCAAGAAAATGATTCTGGTGGTAAAAGTAAATCAGGGGGCCGCTAAGGTTGTTATTAGACAGTTCATTCAAAATCTTTTATGGAACGTTAAAGAAAAGTGTTCTTCCAAGGTGTCATTGTTTTCTTAGATGGTGTTTTTATTGAATATTATGCGAGCTTGATAGACTAGGCAAAGTGGATGTATTATAGAGTTTATTTTTTCAAGCGTCTGCCTAAAGGTAAAACCTTGCCTGTTTTTAAATCTGGATACACTCTTTCCAGGAGTAGAACGACCTTATGGGATGTACGCCATTTGAGAGAGGAAAAATTTCCGCATCCGTCTACTTCACGCATTCGTACACAGGGCAAGGCTGAACCTTATCAGGAAAGAGGGAGGAAAAAAAGGGACTGAGCGGTTAAACCATGATTTTGCAAAGATTATTTTAGGTTTCCTAAACGCAAAGCAATCTCGTTATGGGTGTGATCGTTTCTAGGGGTTGTGGTGTTCCAGAGAGCGTGTCTTTCAAGAAGGGTTGGATTCTTATAGAGTTGATCGCTATCACTCGCCGGGTGATTGACTCCTCCTTACGGTGGTGAATAAGGAACGGGGAAATGCCTTCATATCGTCTGGATAGGGAAGTTCGGGTGTGTTTTACGAGGGGCTTATTCGGATAGCAATACTCTCATCCGTGGCGCCATTTTTGACAATCTTTGCTAATCTCGATTCTTTCGTTTCTTTTCTTCTCATGCAGGAAGTACCGACGGGAAAGGGAGAGGGCGATGAGAGGGAGGATGAGATCAAGGCGCATCAGCCAAACCAACAGACATCTCACAATCCTCTGGGCGATAACAGGAATGGTTCCCTGACCGACCTCGAGGACGATCGACGAGACGCACCGTACTATCGGATCCCGAACGGGGACTCTCTCGACCATGACAGTGACTATGACCGAGATGCTTGATAAAAGGTATCTGCAGAGACTTGTGGCTTTTCTTGTTGCTTGAAGTGCTCAGAGCCATGTGTGCCATGCTGTACGTAGAACTCCTCGTCCTATTCTGTAGACAACAGGCACCTCCGATGCAACTTTTACCTCTGTCAAGTTCTGTCGCCGCCCTGTAGACGTGAAACGTGCTTCATCGCGCTCCAGCTGTGACGCCGCGGCTCTACTTTTATGAACTTCGAGTTTGACTGCTTGAACTTTGCTGATTGAATGCGACTTGTGGATGACGTGAAGCGCCATCTTGCTCAAAGCATGTTTAGATATCAGGTGACGTTAGTCATGTGACTTCCTCGAGGCTCCTGGGCAGCCATGTTCCGTAGAGACCCAGGGTGATCATAATGCACCAATCTTCTTCGGTTCCATTCTGCATGATGTGCACTTTCAACAGCACGACAAAAAATGAACTACATGTTACGGCCACACAGCGAGAACAGTTGAACACATCTAAGAGTAAAATGAAGAAAACGACAATCGTCACCTCAGAAAACACCTCTTAACGCCATCTTTTGTAAATCATCATGAAATTTATGACTACCGATCCCAAATCAGTTGCAAAATGTGATGAAAATGAACATAAGAAAAGATTATTCAAACTCAATACCCCCACGGTGGCTGATGCTCGCTGAACACATGGCGTCAATTGCCTAGCGCAGGACTGCGTCAACGACTGACGCTTTGGGGTTGTGTGAGAAGGACTAATACTAAATGAAATGTGAAATCATGTTTCATTACCTGCGTATGAGCCATATGTCTTCAGAAGCTTAGGTGTCACAGCCAGGTAATACTGCAATCGAAGCAATGCCCCGTGTGCTCCGGCCATACAGTACAGCACTGAACCCCTTCACTCCCTCCATGTAGCCGATCTATGAACGCACCGCTACCTACCGAAGAAGAGGAGATTATTAACGTAATGAATACAGTTTATGATTATATACAGCTCTCGTTGCAAATGAGACCATTTAAATCCTCATGTGACTTTTCTGGATTAGAAATTTAGGTTGAGCTACATTCCTTTGTTATGCAACCAAAATGCTAGAAATAGGATTTGAAAATGCTTGAGTAATAACATTATTCTTTTTTTCCTCTAATTATCTGACACGTTCAACATTAATTTGATGGAATTTTATTTCTTAAATATCTATCCTGCGATCTTGTACTTGGGTATTTTTCTTAAGGCAAAACCGAAGAACAAGCGTTTGTCCACTTATTATTTTGGTATTTTTGTGTTTTCTCTCACCACTCTTTTTTCAAAAATATCATAAAGATATTTCTAGATATCGAATCAGCATGACGAATACAACTTCGTCGTGCCGATGAAATCGTCTCTAAGTCTAATTTAAGATATTTAAGGCTTTTTCTTACTTTTTAAAATATTTCAAATACCTATTTTGTCATATTCTTTTTAACCACGCTGTAACGTTTAAGTCCAAAAACCAATTTGTTGGCAAAGTCAAGACGTCTCATTAATAATTTCAAATTGTAAGCTCGCCTAATTTCTTATGACGTGAAACACCACGCAACGGAGAGAGGCAAGTTAAGGAAAAGGTGAAGGGAGGGAGGCGTTTGAATGGGGAGGGGTATTTCATGATGATTACCATAGTAAAAGGAAAGTGCATTATGCATAGATCATTGTGATAAATTTATATTAGCACCTTGAAAATTGTCAAAATGTTATTTGTATGTGTCACACGTACGGTCGGCTTTGAGCTGAAAAATCTGTTGAAAAACGAAATATTTGTCTTAGGTAGACCATTGTTGATGTAGATGTTTCTAAAGTATCCACATTGTAAAATAAAACTGTAGTTGAGATTAAAGGAATTCATTTCCTAAGGATCTTCTAGAATTTCGTTTTCAACATCTGTATTTTCTATTTTCTCGCCGATATGGATTTATGAAAAATACGAAGTTTGCAATGCCAGGGGTCTGTATTTCAAATCCCACGCACAACAGACCATAACGCATGACTTGATATTTTCGGTAAAAGAAGTGCCAGATTTTAAAAGTATGCGCTTCTTGTATTTTCCCGTACACGCACCACGTAAATATCATTGGACACGGGTAATTGTTGACTCTTAAAATGAACTTATTTAATTTCAGTGATACGAAAACGAATGTTTGTTGAAGGAGGAGTAACCACGTTATTCTTTTAGATCATGAATACGATTTCTGCTACAAAAAATAGCTTATTGGATCAAGCCCTTAGATTTCAATTCGGAGGTAGTCTATTGCGTCTCAATTAACCACGCCAAATAATTATAACAAAAATTATCTCATGGTATAAAAGTTGCAGAAGGGATACGACGGCGTTTTCTTTCCCCCAATTTTGCAGAGTTAAAAATCTCCGTGTTCACTAAAATCTCAATGTGCCATTCACTTCACGTTCCTTAACATCAGTCGTGTTCACTGTTATAAAATGTCCTAGTATTTCTGTACAAAAGCTGCTTTGTAAGATAAAAAAATATAATGTCATTGTGAATCTCTGAAAGAAAATGATCGATGAGAACGATGGGCGGGTGCAACGACGGACAACGTAATCTACTGTAAAATCTGATTGTTTTTGTACAGTGAACACTTGGTACTATATCACACAATGATGTTTGTTTCAATAAATAATTGAAGAAAATATGAAGGCTGGTGATGGTATGGCTGATTTCTTGTTGTATTGAATTCAGAGTCGCAGTCCTATTGATAGCGATAACCCTAACTTTTAAACTCGTTCAAAAACGGTCTCCTAAACAGTATGTGGAAAGGGTATTGGATCTGCTGTTGCAGTCGAGAGAGAGAGAGAGAGAGAGAGAGAGGGGGGGGGGGGGAGGGGAGGTGGGGGTATAGAGAGGGTATGTGACAGAGAAATGGAAAGGGGGATTGGATGGATAATGACAAAAGAGAAAGAGAGAGAGACAGAGAGACAGAGACAGAGACAGGGAGAGGGAGAGAGGAGAATTAATTTTACAGAAAAAAGAGAGGAAGGTGATGAAACGGGAGAAATGACGACTTGAAAGAGATCGTGAGTGGGAGGAAATGAAGAAAGAGAGAGGAAAATAGCGAGAGAATACACTGAATATCAATTGAGAAAAGAAGAGAGAGAGAGAGAGAGTGAGTAATAACATTATGCCTGGGATTTATTTATTTATTTATTTTTTATTTTTTATTTTTTTATTTTTTATTTTTTTAAATCTATTTATTTATTTATTTATTTATTTATTTATTTATTTATTTATTTTATTTATTATTATTATTATTATTTTTTTTTTTTGGGGGGGGGGGTTAAAATATTGTGCAACTGCGAACAATATCCAGTTCATGTCTCAACCGATAATTTTAGACAGCTAGTCACACCATCTGTCCCTGTATGGAGAGTCCCATATAGGTCAATCAGATTGGTTCGCTGCATCATTAATTTATCAATACAAACTTATAATTTCATTTTTCAATAATTAAAGAGAATGGAATAAAGATATTCGTAAAAGCTCACCTATAGACAATTTCCATTGCATTATCAATCATATTTTGAATGGGTGTACATTGCAATAACATATTAAGGAATGCAAACATATTTCTATGGGATATACAACAACCTATAGCAATAGCTCTTATTCTTCGAAATTCTTCGCGATCGTTTGACACACGATTAAGTAAAGACGTAGGCATTTTTTATGGGGGTAATTATAAATCGCACAGAGCTATCAAGCCCGAATTGCACATCAATATGACCGAAAACAAGGAAAACTTGCCTCATGGACTTTATAAGGTATCAAAATGCACAACTCTTAATATTCAGACAGTTACTATCAGCATATTTGTATTTTTGTATTTATTAACATTTATTTCCTTCTCAACAGTACAATATGAAACACAATGTATAACATTATATATGTAACAATTATTTTAACATAGAGTATACAGTAAATAATTCAGATACGGAAGGAGGCGAAAACCCGGAAAGCATAGCTTGAGTTGGGAACGCCCATGATAAAATTAACACAGTTACCGAAAGAACATTATAGATATTATTATGAAAATTACATTTTATATAACAGAAAGTTGATAGGAAAGAAGAGAGAAAGAAGAAAAAAAATGAGGAGAGAATTAAGTATAGGAAGGCATGTTCACTTATACAGAGAAAGTTACTTCAATTGGGATGTGCATTGTCTGTGCTTACATCACAAAAATATGGCCTACCATGCCCGGGATGACAGTGTTTTATCGGATTGTGAAGAGTCTTTCGTATATGAATTGAAGAAAAACAAAAATATGGCCTACCATGCCCGGGATGACAGTGTTTTATCGGATTGTGAAGAGTCTTTCGTATATGAATTGAAGAAAATATAACGAGTAATCTGGCTCAGGGGAAATTGCATCAATTTAGTCAGCTACTCTTCTGTCATACTTTCATTGTGACTCATGATTCACTGTTAAAGATCACCTAGACAGGTGAAGGGTAATGCGTAGTACCCCTCTCCCACCCCACCCTACGTTCTTTCACCCCTATCATGGGTGAAACAGAATCGTCCTTTTTGTTCACTTACAATGATTTGCTCTTATTTCGTGCTTTTCTTCGCTCTTATATTGTCATAAATGTGTCCGATATCAATATTAAACTTTTCTTCAGAGCAATATAGGTATTGCCTAATAAGCTTACAATATTTGCCTTATTTATATATCTTATTCGTCTGACTTGTCTGTGTATCTGTCCGTCATCTTCTCTCTCTCTCTCTCTCTCTCTCTCTCTCTCTTTCTCCCCTCTCTCTCTCTCTCTTTCTCTCTTTCTCACTCTTTCTCTACCCCTCTCTATCTATCTCTCTCTCTCTCTCTCTCTCGCTCCATATCTTTTCATTGTTTACCATAAATAGGTACATGCTCACGTGTACGTATGCGTGTAGTAATATTTACATTTACATTAGTTTTCTTCCGCTGCCCCCTCTTCCTCTCGCTTTCTCTCACCCACTCTCTATTTCACGATGCATATACTCATACACTCCATAGAACTACAAATTAAAGTAATAAGAAATACAAATGTACGAAAAGTTTTTTAAAAAGAATGAGAAAAAAAAAGAGATAGAAATAATAAAAAGGTGAACAACTTAAAGAAAGACAGGGAGCCCAAGATGGCAATTGAATGTGCAAAAAATAAAAGAATAGTGTGTGTGTGTGTGAGAGAGAGAGAGAGAGAGAGAGAGAGAGAGAGAGAAAGAGAGAGAGAGAGAGAGAGAGAGAAGAGAGAGAGAGAGAGAGAGAGAGAGAGAGAGCGAGGGGGGGGGGGGGGGGAAAGCGCCATTGTGTTTAATACGGTAAGGCATCTATTTGTATTCCTGTTGGAGAAATTTATTAATAATTGTGTAAGGAGTATATTGATAGTTTGAACACGGCTTCAAGGTTTGATGCATATTTGACGTTGGTGGCAGCCCCTGTGACCTATGACCTACATCCGCTTTCTTCTCTTGTCTTTCGACGAGGTAAGGTTTATTTCTGAATTAACGTGTTTTAGATTTGTTGTTTGATGAAGATGGTGTAATACTATATTGATATTGTAGTATTGGATGATTAGCGTGAGTATGAACTATGAAGAACATGAATAATTATGACAGTGTAATTTCAGGTGTGTGGATTACGTGATATAGACAGGGTGTATATATAACAATAACGCTTTAGATAACCATGATTACGCGTAAACGTATCGGCCCGAATTCACAAAAGAGATTCGTCGACAAACCTTGGTCTTAAACGCGTCAAACCGCGTCATATGACGCACATAAACCTAGGTTTGTCGACAAACCTCCTTTGTGAACTCGGGCCTTCGTGTGTGTAGGCCCATACGTACGTTCGTGTGGATGGATGGATTGACCCGGCCCAATGAATATGCCATTTTCGTAATGTAATCAAACTTAATGCACAAATCTTTGTGAAGTGCCTCGTTACAAAGTATTTCAGTCACCTGTTATGAATAATTGTATTTAAATAGTCAGAATGCAAATTGATGCATGATGTGCTGTTAGGTAGGACACGCCATAATGTTTGTCATACCTAGCAACAATTAATGTTTGCAATTCGCTTTTTGACTATAGAAATGAAATAATTCATAACGAGGCACTTAACAAAGATATATAAGCATAATTACATTCGATTACATTACGAAATGGTCTATTATGGCGCCAGCCACGAGTGTCAGGATGTCAGAGTGGTATTGAAATGGCAGGCATTATTAAACCAGGGAGGTGAAAGAAAGGAGTCTCTTGTAATTTATTCAAACGCATTCGTCAGTTCTAAAGCATAACAATAGGGTGTGTAACATTCCACTTGGCTTTGAAGTTCCATGCTCCGAACCGCGCTTCAACTGCGGGGACTTTCGGAGGCCAGGCACCAGTTTTACATGTATTACAACATATTAAATTACCGGCAAAATTTCAGTGCAAATCATAAACTTTATAATGGGATTGTATTGGGAATAGTACATCAAACAATTTTTCAAATTTAATAATCCGCCCTTCCTTGTGTGCCAGAGTTGGTAGAAGAAAAATTAGATCCTGACAAAAACCCAATATTTTAGGTTAATGCGCTAATTTGTGCGTGTTTTAATGTCCCGTTATTTAATCCATGATTTACAATTTTAAATAACATGTAGTTTGCTAATGCGTGTTTTCGCGTGTTTTCTTGTTTTTTTTGCAGTTGGAAAAAACGATGAAATGACACAAGTTTGTGTTCGCTTGTTCTACTCATTACAAATTCGACAATTGATGAGAAATCACTGGAAAGGACAGCGAACAGTTGCTGGGATAACATTTTCTGATGTAGGAATTCTAAATCCTGAAATTTTATGCGCTCTTTTATCTCACCACCTGGTCCATAGTTGCAGATTAGCGCACAACTTTTCGGCGGCTTGGAGCATGGGGTCAAATAAAAGCGGCTTGATTCCACTTCTTTTTTTCACCTCTCTGATTAAACAGTCGTAGAGGCATGTTTTTTTTTTAAATTGCCAAAACCATAACCCTGACCCCACCTGATGCAAGTGGTGTAAATTGCCAAGCTTCGCTACTTTATGTTGTGGCTATTTTTTTAAAAATAGAAACATGCCTCTTTGACTGATTGAAGATTGTGTTTTGATGTGAGCTGGTTGTTAGAATGACGACTTAATATAGCCTAAGTGGATTTAATACCATGAAAAAAGTATACTTTTTTGAGCTCATTGTCTAATTCTATCGCTCACAATGAGGCTTGTATCGTAACATGGACTTAATATATAGGTCTGTATTTGCTACCAGCTTACCGGTAATAGGTCAAGCCCTTTTCACACCGGATCTGCGTAGAGTTGCGTAGTGTGGCGTACCGACTACGTCGAAATTATCCAGCGTATTCTTGAAGAAAAAAAAATGGTGCTGCGGCGTAGTCCCTGCGTAGGTTATGCGTAGGATGTTGTAGGATGGCGTATGGTTACGTACCTTGTGCATAGGCAACACGTACCTTCGGCGTAAGATTGCGTATAACAGGCGTAGGGTTGCGTACGATTACGTAGGCCTGGCATACATGTTTGCTTACGGTTGCGTACGGTTGCTTACTGTGTACGCAAGCTTTTACTGCTTCGTCGGACTGGCGTACTAGTAGCGTACTATTGCGTATGATTGGCGTACTGTAGTGTAGTGTTGCGCAGTGTTGCGTAGACTTGCATACAGAATGCGTGCTTTCTGCGTTTAGTATCTACGCCGAAGGTACCATCTCGCGTACCCTTTTGCGTCCCTCAG